TCCTGCCGCTCATGAGGACCCTGCCCAATAAGGATTAAGAATGATTACTGGGAGGCATTTTCTGCTGTGAAGAAACATCTCTTGTAAGGAAAAGCTGGGGAATCAGAGCCTGTACACAGGCTCGTTTCATTCAGAGCAGGCGGTCCGTCTCCTAACAGAGGCAGAGTTTGGCAGTGCGTGTTTGTTTTTTAAACATCTCCAGGTCATAGACATGCCGGAACACAATCCTGGGCAGATGGGCGGAACCATGAGGCTGGGCAAGAGGAGAACCCTGTTCCAGACCAAGAACTCGGTCATGAGTAAGAGCTGCCTCCCCGGCCCGCTCTTCGGCCCGGCATGTCCAGGACGCATGTCCTGCGCTGGTGCCGTGGCTCCGGAGAGCCAGGCTGGGACTTTCGGTTTGGTTCTTGCTTTTGAAGTTGTTTTTTCCCTTCCTAGTCATGTTCTTTGGGGACGCACCGTAATAGCCAAAGCTGCAGTGTGGGTCTAGAGAGGTCACGGGCCGTGCACTCAGGGACCTGGGGACCCTGGGTGCGGACAACTCAGCAGAATGAGGCAGTTACTTGAAATCCACTGTAGTCTGTTACTTTCTTCGACTATTAGGTTGAACTGTATGAAACTGCCAATGTTGGTGATTTTTGTCCCACAAAAAAAGCAGTGTCATACAGTTCAACCTAAATAGATTTTATTCTAAAAGTACTAATAGGTGCTAAAGATTTAGGGGAAATTTAGGGAGGAAAATATTTAAGAAAATTACTGTTAGATTTTATTTCCTTAAAATAGAATCTTTTATTTTCTGGGAAATTCTGTCTTTACGAGCGGGGCAGCCGGTGCCTGTCTGGGGGTGTGGTGGCAGCAGTTTGAGCCACTGAGCAGTGATCTCCAGTCCTGCCAACTCTGATGTTCTGTGAATGTGGGGGTCCTGCGCGGCAGCGCAGTGGGGCAGGAAAGCAGCCCGTGTGCAAACGAAGCCCTTCTTCAGGGGCGGCCAGCCATGCGTGGGAGCTTTGGTGACTGTGCCTTACCTGCATGGTGCTGGCCCCGAGGGTCCTCTGGGTGGCTCTCAAGATGTCTGTCTCAGGGCTTTGGCCGTTGGTATGTCTGGCTTTGTCTTCCCAGGCAGTTTCCAGCGGGACAGTGCTTCGTCCCTCAGTGATCGCGTGTTGGAGGGTGGTGGTCAAAGTCTGGAACAGTTTTCTTGGTGTGGTTGGGGTCAAAGACAAGATTTATCTTCACTGCGCTGCCACGAGCAGGTGGCTGTGGTTGGCGGGAGAGTCAGAGAAATACCCTTGGAAAGGCCTGGCTGTGGAGACAGGGAGGCGGGGGGCAGGGGCAGTTGTGAACACACTCAGGAGCCTTTGCATCAGCCTGCCTTTTTGCCAGGGAAGCTCTATGGGGACCCCGATTACTTGGAGGAGAGGCACCGGCACAGATTCGAGGTGAGGATTTGAGCTCTGGGATCTTTACGTCTTTTCCTTCCTGTTGCTCTGGAAACACGCTAAGCTCGGAGCCAGCACAACTAGTCTTCGTGCTTCAACAGGTGAATCCAGTCTTGAAAAAGTGTTTGGAAGATCAAGGCTTGAAGTTCGTTGGCCAAGATGTAGGAGGAGAGAGAATGGAAATCGTGGAGTTGGAAGGTGATTGCTTAGGCAGCGTGTTTAATGGAGAACTTGGGGAGGTCTTCTTGACATGTGGGAAAATATAAAAACATTAGTTGTTGCCCTTGACCTAACAGTTAGGAAGCAGCACTGTCTTCTGGGGGCTGGGTGTCTTGGTGAACAAGATGTCTTGAGCCCCACTTCTGATCTAACATGACCTGCGTGACTCAATCCTGTGGAAGTCGGGGGGCTGGGGGAGCCGGGGACAGGAACCTGGAGAGGAGGCCCCTGCAGCCAGGAGGGTGACAGTGTGCAGGGGAGAGGCTGTCAGATGTCCCTTGCTTTGTGGTTACCTTTACCCAGGTTCAAATTAAGAAGCTATTTTTAAATACTTTTAGGGTCTGTGGAAATGAGAAACATTTAAGGAGAGTTTTTCCTCATCTTTTGCGTGTCACGCATACATGCATAGTGAAGCTGTTTACCTGCGTTTCTGTTTCAGATCATCCCTTTTTTGTTGGAGTTCAGTACCACCCTGAGTTCCTGTCCAGACCGATCAAGCCTTCCCCACCGTACTTCGGCCTCCTCCTGGCCTCGGTGGGGCGGCTCCCGCATTACCTCCAGAAAGGCTGCCGGCTCTCGCCGAGGTGGGCTTGGGTTTCTCTGGTCCTCGGGGTGGTCTCTGAGTCATCACAGCGATAAGCGAAGCCACAGGAACCGGGAACGTTCCAGGGTGCTCCTCCTCACACGGACACGCAGGTGTCCTCTGCTCCCCGGGTTTTCTCAGGCTGCTTCGTGCCACCCCAGCCTTCCGCCGGCATGGCGGCCAGGTCCCCGTCTCTGCAGCGTCTGGGTTCTGGGATGACCTTTGGCAGTGGGACCCCATGGTCCGTGGGGGACTGTGGTTTTTCACAGTGTGTCGGCTGCAGCCCGGGTGGACTTCATGTCCCGTTTCTCCTTTATCGGGAACCCGTTAGTTCCTCTGCCTTGGTGGTCAGGGCGTCATGACTGAAGGCTATAAATTGAATGTGTATCTTCTGTCACCAGAAGAAGAATACCCCTCGACAGCTTCATGCTGACTACGTAAGGCAGTAAAGGTAGTTCTGATTTCTGCTGTGTCCCCGTCGTGATGGCGGCTACAGGAACAGGGCCACAAAACAAGCTTTTGGTGGGAGGTGATGAATAAACCCTCTCAATTCTACAGGGACACCTACAGTGACAGAAGTGGGAGCAGCTCCCCGGACTCTGAGATCACTGAATTGAAGTTTCCATCAGTAAATCATGACTGATGGCAACGTAAGTGGTATTTTTAAGCTTCAGGGGTTTTTGTTTGTTTAGTGGTGATAGCACTAGAATTGAAAGAACATCATGAAAGTTTAGTGTTGGAAATGTACCTGCCCGAGAATGAGAGTGGTGAGGTCAGCGTGGATATGAAATGGGCGAGACCCTCCAGGTTACAGGCACCTGTCCGCCTTGCTTTGGGGACTCCGCGTGGGGGACACTAGTTACTGGGCAGTTGTCTCCATACTGATCGCTACATTTGGGTCCCAGTCTGACCAAATCTAGGGGAACTGGACTCAGACCCTTGTTATTTCCTGTAGCCATAAACTTGGAGATCTTGAAGGAGGTGACAGGTGTGACAACATGGGATTTGTCATTTTTGCAGAGCCTCAAGCTTTCATCAGGAAGTGCTTTAAAGCTGATACATGTGACATACAACACTTTTATGTTGATTGCTGCTTATTCTGGAAATCCCTTAAAATCCAAATGATTATTGTACAAACCTTGGTTTGTAAGTTTATAAAGTGTAGCAGCTCTGGGCACTGCCATGAATTATGTAAAGTCCTATTAAGATAACCGAGCAAACTGTGTCACACATTCTGCTGGTGAGGGTCTCAGAGGGGGCTGGGGGTGTCAGTTGGGCATCTGTGGGGTCTGAAAGAACCAAGGGTGTGGTGTGGTCCCATCTTTGGGGGTCCCAGCACAGGGAAGGTGCGCTCCTGCCTGAGGCGCGGGCAGGCAGCCTCCCTGAATCCTGCACCCCTGGTGTTCTCTGGTCTGGCGGGCACATGACTCTTGCCTTCTGCCTTGGTTATCAGCCAGCTGGCCCTTGATGGCCTGAGCCAGGCGGGCCGGTGTGAGAAGTAGGTTCGTACCTGTCAGGAGGAGGGCTCTGATGCCTTACTCTCTGCCGGGTGAGTGTTTAGCACAGATGAACTCACTGATTTTCTCCACCAGATAGTTTGCTCATCTAAGAAACTACCATAAAGAGAAAGGAAGCTTTAACAGTAAAGGGGTGCATGTTGGGGCAGTGACATGGAACTTCTGACTGCCTTGCTAAGTGGAGAGTTTCCTGTTGGTGGCGCTGGTCAGAGGCTGGGAGCTGTGGGAAAGATTGCTTGTGTTGGGGCAGAGGGAGAAGTCCATGTAAGGTCTTGACAACGTATGATTCCATAGGAATTAGACACTCGGCTTCTAATTATTCACGCTAGGCTCCTACTCCTGGTCTTCAGTGACAAATAGGTGCAGTTTGCACCATAGCAGCTGACTATAAGTTCTAACTTTTCTACTTTAACATACATCATATAATTGCTTCATTTATTTTTAAATAGGGGTGCTTCTTCAAGACAGCCTTCGGACTGAGAGAATTGACAGCTTTGACTTTACACTCAGCTTTGACACTTCCTTTAAATTATGTTTTTTTAAGATGATTTTATTATGGGGAAAGGTATTTGGAACACGTTGTGCCCTGCATGTCCCCTCACGTGTATCGGCTCCTACACGGTGCGCTGCCTGGCATCCGACTCTCTCCTTTGCCGCCCTGGAGCTTCTCAGCCGAGAAGCAGCACGTCTGGGCGGGAGCGGAGGCCGGGGGCTGGCGGAGGGCCATCCCTCACCTTGTTCTCCAGCTACCTCACGTCACTGTGGATTTGAGCGTGGAGCCCATCGCTCCCCCTGGGATGCCCAGACCATCAGAAACAGCCCCACGGACTGCGTGGGCACAGAGGGTCATTTAACTCATGCTTACAACACTTGGTGCTGGTAACCTGAGGGCACTGCTTGCCACTAGGAGCAGTGGAACCAGAAACAAAGTCTCGGCCCTGCCCTGTGGAGACTCGGTGCCAGCTGTGGCTGGTACTTGTCCAAAGGGACAGTCAGTTTGTGTCACACGAAATGGCAAGAAGTCTGTGTCTCTCTGAAGTGTGATTTTAGACTCCCTGTCCTCGCTGTGCTTCTCTTCCTGGGCTGGGAAACACTCCTTGCATCAAGGGGTCGCTTAAAAAAGAACAAAGACTCTTTTGGGGAAGCTGCCTCTAAAACCCTCTCATATGTAGACAGCTTTGCTCGAGGGGACTTTTCCTTCCAGAACGGTGTTACTGCAGTTGAAATGCATTATGAAAGCTATTTTCCTAATGTGATGTACTGATGGGCACGGCTGTGTGCCCACTATATTCTGGCTGGACTCCGTGTATACTCTAACTTAAGAAATAAATAAAGCAGACACACTGTACAATGCTTGTTTGTTGTGGCTGGATGGAAGATGTCTGAGCACAGTGCCAGACGTGCCTGTGTGCGGTCACCTGAACCGTCCGCGCCAGGGCTCCTCCAGGTGAGCACCCTTAAGTGGATGATCTGATAGTTTAAAAACTAACAGGGGAGGCTTTCTTTTTAATGGGAACCAGAATTTCCCCCAAGCCCTTCAAATTGTGGTTCTTGGCATAGAGAGATCAAAGAAGCAGGGTGCCGAGTACACTGCCAGCTCTTGAGCAAGGGGGCATTCCTGTGATGTGTATGGAGGAGGTCCTTCCCTCTATGGGGCCTGGACCTGGGCGCCTCCGGACGAGGCCAGGAGCAGCAGAGCAGAGCCGCGTGAGCCGGCAGGACTGCTCTGTGCCCCTCGGGTCCTCCTGCCCTCCCCAGCCTTCTGAGTCCAGAGCATTGTCCTGAGTGGTTCTTCCCCCAAGTGAAATCATTGATATTGAACCCGTGCTCCTTGTGGCGTGTTGGTGACCCTGGCACCCACCACCCACACGCTGGCAGCTGAGCACACCACCCCATGAGCCGGCTCCTCTGCAGACAGCCTGAGGCAGATGCTCGGGGCTCAGGCCCGGCTGCTTGTCGGCGGTCAATGCCTTTACTCATTGATTTTTTTTTTTTAAGATTGGTACCTGAGCTAACAACTGTTGCCAATCTTTTTTTCCCTGCTTTTTCTCCTCAAATCCCCCCAGTACATAGTTGTACGCTTTAGTTGTGGGTCCTTCTAGTTGTGGCATGTGGGACATGGCCTGACAAGTGGCACTATGTCCGTGCCCAGGATCCGAACTGGCAAAACCCCGGGCTGCTGAAGCGGAGCGCGCAAACTTAACCACGGGACCACGGGGCCGGTCCAACTCATTGATATTTGAGAAATTAGGGGTTGGGGAGAAAAATGTTTCTCACCATTTGACCTGGCCCTCCGTCAGAGAGATCCAGAAAAGGAGGAGGCTCCCTTTTATCCTTCCACTCACTAGACCAAGGCCACCATCACTGCTGAGGCCCAGGAGCCGGCGTTCCTCCTCTTGGCCTTTGTCTTCATTTCTCATGGACCGAAATCAAGTGTCTTTGCTGACAGAGGTCTTCACACTTGCCTTGCTACTTTGAGTGTGGCGACTGGGTGCATTCTAGCCTCTTTTCCCACCTGGTGGTCCATCAGACAGGCTTCAGTCATTTTTATAAAAGCCCTTCCCCGAACTGAGGGCTCTGACATGTCCGTTGGTGACGGCAGTGTCTCTGCAACAGCCAGGACTTGGGTGGGTGTGGGTGGTTTGCAAAAGCTTCGCAGGGGGCTGGTATTGCCGCCCCTGCCTTTCACAGTGTCTCAGCTGACCAGTTGTTGAGTGCTGGCCTCTTGCATAACCTTGCTAGAAATGGGACCCCAAATGGCTTTAGGGCTTACAAAACTCAACCAGCCCTGCCACCTGGGCTGTGGCAGACAGGACTGTACCAGGGGCGAGGGCTGAAGCTGAGGCTGTGCAGGAGGGTGGCCTTCCACGCCCGGTGTTGACTGTCCGGTGCCCAGAGGCTTCTCCTTGGGGAGGAGACCCAGCAAAGTGCCTCCAGTGCCCTTCACTTCAACCCAGGTGAGCCGGGCAAGTTCCTACAGTCGAGCAGCGCAACTACCGCCTGACCTCACCCTGCCTTTGTGGAAACCGGCCGCTTCCCGACAGGAGTGTTCCTGAGGGTCGGGATGCCTGGGCTGGCCTTGAGCATGTGCCTGGCACGTGGAAGGTGCTCACAGATGGCTCGCCTCTGACCTCTTGAGCAGCCCCTCCTCTGTGCACTTCTCAAGCAGCCTCTGAAGACCTGGCTCAGGCGCTGTGGTTGGGTGTCCCTGAGGAGCTCAGAGTTTGGCGTCCATTGCCACATTGGGTCCCTAGAAATAACCGTTCTTGCCCCAGGTGCATGTAATTTATTAAAGAGCTTTGACCATCACAGGTCCCAGTAGACGGGCTGGGGGCTGCAGGGTGGCCGGCCTGCCCTGCACCACAGTTAGCGAGTGTGCCTCGCCGCTGCGGGGCGCTTTCCTAGGATGACACATTCCTTTCTGGCCGTCTAGCCCACTGGAGTCAGACCCCAGCCTGGGCGCAGTGAGCATTTTGGAGAAGAACAGTCAGCCCTGGGACAGCTCTGGCCAAGTTTTTTCTGAAAGTAAGGTTCCTTGGGGATGGTGCCAAGAGCTACTTTTTAGCTACACAGACTGGGGTCTGCTCAGGATCAAAGGCACATGGGACCCACCTGTGTGTGGGCAGGGCTGTCGAAGGATCGAGGAAGTGGGGCTCTCCCAGCCACCTCTGAGCAGCCCAGATGGGTTTTATTGGGAGGACTCTGGCTCACATAGGAAACCCCTGCATTGCCCAGGCTGAGGAGAGGCGCCTCCCTGCGCCGCCCTTTCCTGCCCACTGGGGCCCTCACAGGACGCAGCAGGTGCAGGAGACAGGCTTTTGCTGCTGCAGCTGCTCCTGGAGCTGTTCCTTCTCCACCGTCAACACGTTCACCTTCTCCTCCAGCTTGCTCAGCTCCGCTGTCCACTTCTGAGGGGACATCGTGGAAGCAGATGTCTAAGCTGACATTGTCTTGGGCCCACGCACCCTCCCCCTAGGGGTTGACCTGATGGAGGAAGGCAAGGCACAGAGTGCCTGGGGGGTCTGCTCAAGGCCACTGGGCACCGTATTGACAGTGCTAGGTGGGGAAGCTGGTCCCCTGACCATGCTCTCATCCCTGACCTAGTCAGCCCTTGGGTCTTGACGGAAGCCACCTGACCTGAGGGTCCTGCCAGCATCCCACACCCTAAGATGATCTGTCTTCGCAGCCTCTTCAAGTACCAGGGCAGGCTCAGGTTGGCAGCTCCCCGGCCGCATCTTTTCCTCTCTGTCAGCCCCTTACCCTCCTCCACTTTTCTGCCACCTAAAGTTTCCCTCTTGAAAAGGTTTTTCCTTGGAACTGTGTCTAGCATTCACTGCCCCCCATCTTAAGGGTCTCCCCCAAGATAATAGTACACAGTCCTCAAGATTGTCTTGAAACTTCTCAATATTCCACTCTCCTGGCTTCCCCAGCCACACAACAGTGGAATACTGGATGTAGTGGGGTTATTTTGATCCAGCCCCTGTGGTGTACTCACGGGGTGATGGAGCACCAACAGAAACCTGATGGCTTGCCCAGGACTTCTCAGTGAGTGGCTGAAGGGGCCTGGGTCCAGCTTGGGCCCCAGCCTGGCTGCCGCAGCCTTGGCCACTTACCTGCCTGCACCACTCCTGGATGGCGCAGACGGACAGTGGGCCCTGGGTGCTCCCGTCACGCCGCAGGAACACCTCCCCTAGGTCTGTCTCGTAGAGCTGCGGCTCAGCCTGGGCCTTGGCGTGCACACTTAGGCGGATCACCTTGGTAAGGGCAGCAGGCACTGCACTGGACAGTCTGCAGCCCAAACCCCACATCGCTTGCGGCTGGCTGGCTCCTGAGGTCAGCCTGCCGGGGCTGGAGGTGGGGCTGTTTCCAGCTCTTCTCCAGTCTCTCTTTTCCCCAACTCCCTTTTGCCACCGTCCCCGCCCACCATGGCTCAGCAGAGGCGATGTGGGCCATCACGTTTAGAGTGATGACATGATAGATGACTAAATAGACCCGGGGACCTTCATTCCCGCAGCTCACCTTGAGGGGGGTGCTGGTGGTGGAGGTGCTGACCACAGGGATGAAGGTGAGCGTGTAGGCGTCAGGGAAGACCTGGGGCTTGAAGCCCTGCAGAATGGAGTCCACCAGCAGGCGCACGCGGTCCTCGTCGCGGTGGCTGCAGCGGATGCCCTGCACCAGGCCGCTGTCCTCCACGCCCACGAACAGGCTGCCGCCCTCGCTGTTGAGGAAGGCGCATACGTAGCGCCGCACGTGGTGCTTGAAGGCCAGGGTCAGGTACTCGCCGCCCCCCCGCTTGAACTCCACATTGCGCGTCTCGCTGCCCAGGAAGGCGCCCTGGAAGAGCTGCTCCTGGCCCAGGATCTTCTGGTGCATGATGGCACTGTCGGAGCGTGTGCTGCTGGGTGGGACCCAGGAGCTCTGCCGCCGCTGCCGCTGGGCCAGGGCCCGGGTAGGAGGGGTGTTGGTGAGCCGGGTCGGCCGGAGGTGGGAGCCTGGGCTGGGGTCAGGGCAGGGGCCGGGGCTGAGGCTGGGGCTTGGGCCGCTGTCCTCCTCCTGCTGGGGTGAGGGGCAAGAGTTGGGAGCCCCAACCTTGGTGGTAAGAGAGACATACTGCCAGAACCCCCACCCCCACCCCCCTGGGGCCAAGCCCACTTGGGCATCTTGGTGTCCCCACCCAAGTGGAGGGGTCTAATTCTGCCCACCATCCTGCAGCCCGTGCGGGAAACCCTGCTGGGTCAAGGGTTCGAATCAGCCTCTGCTCCTTCCCCTCTGGGCTGCCCTCTTCCCCGCTGGGCTCTGGGAACACAAGGTGGGTAACAAGAGCTGTCTTTCCCGGGGTTGGGGGCTGGGACACCTGTGGACCAAATTCTTCCCATTTGGGTTGTGGACAGGCCTCTGAAGCCCAGGACTGGGTCATTCCAGGAGTCATCTCAGTGCCCTGAGGTCCCCAGTGACAGAGCTTCAGGTTTCTGAATTGAGATGGGTGCTCAGGGACCCCACGCCCTTCCTCATCTCTCTGAAACCCTTGCTGATCGCTTCCGGACCAATGACCAGTCTCCTGAATCTCAACTTTCCTTCGGCCCTGCTGAGTACTTTCCATGGTTCCACTCTGTTCAAGGGCTCTGGGCATGAGCATGCTCATGGCCACTTCCCTAGTCTGGGCCTCATTGTCAGCCCCACACTGGACTCCCTGCCTCCGGGCTCTCCCCGTCCCATGCATCCTCCTGGCTGACCTAGATGCAAGTCAGATCGTCACTCCTCCCTTACTGGCTTCTCTGCTGCCCTCCCTGGCTTCAGGGCTGGGAGCTGTGTGGACTGCAGCATGGTGATGAGGGGCATGTCCCTACCAGCCCTGCAGCTCCCTGAGAAGACAAATTTACCAGAAACATGGGAAAACTGTCATACAAATATGACGTCAGGCTCACAGGCCTGAAATGTAAGTCACAGAGCCGTTTAGTTCTGCAACAATTTATACGCCATGGAGTTTTCGCCCCCACAGAAAAGGAAAGCCGAGATCACCTGTCTCGTGGGGTGACCCACCACAGCCCCGTTGGTGAGTTCACTGCTCCCTCCCGCCCCACAAAGCCCAGCCTGTTGGCTCTGCCTGGGTCTCAACAGCCTTGGTGGCCTGGCCTCTGCCCACTGGCCCAGCTTTCGTCCTTAGTTCCCCCTGCAGCCCCAGGGACACCAAATGGCTTGCCCTTCTACAAATGCAACATTCCCCCTTATCCATCCCTCTGTACATGCCGTGTCCCTCTGCCTGGAATGTCCTTCCCCTGAGTGCCTGTCCCTAAGTCCCAGCCTGGATTTCACTTCCCCTGTGAATTTGTCCCCAGAGAGCAGTGAGGACCCTCCTCCTGTCCTTCCACAGCTTCCAGTGGCCACTTCGCAGCTTTGTAACTGGCTGTGCCTGGCTTTGCCCATGGACGGAGGGCCCTTGAGGGCAGGTCTGCTGTCTGTTTTACTGCTGGGCACAGAGCAGGCATTGGTGTTTGTCAACAAATGAATGAGGTGGGCCAAGAGAAAATCGGGGTCCCTGAGTATCCAAAGGCCTGGGCTGACCGGGCCCAGGGGCTGGGATGCAGAAGGACCCAGGGAGGACTTCCACACTCTGGCTTTTCTTCACATGCTTCCAGGCTGGAGGCAAACTGTTAGGGTCAGTGTCCCTCTGGGAGTACGCTGGCAGTGCCAGCCTCAAGCCCCCAAGTGTGCAGACTTGTCTCCAGTTCCTCAAAGACACCCTCCACCCCCAGCCAGCGCAGGCCCGCCACACCCAGGCATCTTGGGGAGGCTCTGGGGCTCACCGGCCTAGTGGCTCCGGGAATTCCTCGCTTACCTCTCTGTGGCTCGAGGGCCCACGGCCCTCACCCAACACCAGCTCCTTCCCGCGGGCCACCAGCTCCTTGAGGATCTGGTGCTCCTCCAAGGCTGTTTGCAGGCGCCAGTGGAGGGAGGCCAGGGTGTCCCCGTGTGTGGCTACCTGCACCAGTGCGTAGGCCTTCCGCGGCCGCCGCACCACCTCAATGTGCTCCCGTGCCACCGGCAGCTCCAGCCTCTCCAGGGTGTCGCGCAGCAGGCAGGCGAGCACAGGCACTGAGAACTGTGGGTTCAGGTGGCCCACATAGAGAACGTGCGTGCTGGGTGCCACCTCGAGGCCCGACTCCTTGGGCAGGGACTCTTCTGGGGGTGCTTCCTGCGAGTGTTGCTCGCCTGGAGGCTCCATGAGGGGCTCCTGCGCCTGTGTTTGTGGTGATCTCTTCCTGGGGGTCTCTGGAGGGGTGTCCCTCGGAAGGGCTTCCTGGATTCCTCAGTGCTGGTGGCTCCTCTCAAGGCCCTGGGCTCTCAGCTTAGCCCAGGGCCTCCCAGGGGACTCAGGGGGTGCCAAGGCTCCTGGGAGCTTCACAGATTGGCAGGGGCTGGGCAGGGCCAGAGAGAGAGAGAGGGAGGGTAGAGGCCCAGCAGGAAGGGCCTGTCACCGCGCCCCCCACCCCCCGCCCCCGCCAAGGCCTAGGACAGGATAGAGGAGAGTCAAGGCTGAACAGAGAGCAGAGCATGAGCCTGCCCCTCATTCCACAGAAGTGAAGACCGAGGGATCTGCCCAGAGGTGGAAGAGGGGACCAGAACTCAGACCTCTGAAGGTCCCCCATCTCCTTTCATTGGCCCCAGGGGCCTGTCTTCCCTCCCCAAGCCACAGGCTTGGGGCCTCCTAGGTGCCCTCAGTTTCCTGCCCACCAGAGGTTACTGCTGCCTCCAGGCACCAGCGAAACCTTTCAAGGGCCTTTGGAGAAGTGGCCTTAGCCCAGGCCTCCCAGGCCAGCTGCAGCCCCACCTCTGCTTCCCCGCCTGGTCTGCAGCAGGTGCAAGCCTAGCAGAGGCTGTGAAACAGTCAGGCCAGCTCAGAGGGTCTTCGGGCAGAGGTTCTTAGGCTTTGGGCACACTCAGGGAAGCTATGGTCCCGCCCCAGAAAAACGGCCTTTGCACATTACATATAATCCCAGGAGGCTCGTGGGCCCTTCTGAGGAACTCTTAGTCTACACTGAATCCTCTGGTTTGGGTCCAGAGAGCAGAAGTGAGGAGAGGCAGAATGAGGATCAGAGCTGAGACCCTTTGTAGCCCCTCCCCGCCTCCCACCAGGCCCGGGGCTTCACTCCTGAGCTGTGCTCATACGTGCACACACCAGCCCCTCCACTCACCCCAACACACCCAGCCTCCGGTCTCTGTGGCAGGTACCACTGGGCTGCATCTTTTCTGATTGGATCCTTGAGGCAGGCAGGGCCTGGGGGCCACCACAGCTGGGGTGGGGGCATTCAGGGCAAACAGGAATAGGAGGAAAAGGGAGGCCTAGGACCCTCATGTCCTGATGGTTCCTGGGGACTCGTGGGAGGTGCTAGCCCTGAGCTCCCACAGCCCCTTGACCCCTGGCCAGCAGCTCCGAGGGCACTTGGGGGCTGGGCACAGGGCAGGGAGAACCAGGGCTGTAGGAAGTGGGCGGGGCCTGCACAGCCACCTCTGTGAGCTCATGAGCATCAACAATGCCTTCTTGGCCAAACTCAGGCAGGCAGGGTTGGGAAGTCAATCAGGAAAACCCCTCCTCCACTCCCCACCCGCACCGTAAACAGATACAGCTGTAAACGGATACACCAAGCACCCTGGCCGCAGGGTTCCCTCGGGGCGGCGCCAGAATCCAGGGGCTGAAGACACACCCCTCCCCCCGTAACATCTCCCTAGGCCCCAGAGCCCACACAGGTCCCCTGTTGCCTCAAATCCCCAGCTCCCCCTCTGTCACCAATCCCAGGCTCCACCGAGCACAGACAGGACCCAGCTACCCCAGGATGGATCAGAACACACAGCTTGTTCCAGGGCTCCCCCGATACCAGGCCCTTCTTTATGCCAGAGACAGAGGTTGCTGTCCAGGAAAGCCCTGAAAAATAGTCAAGCAGTACCAACTCTTTTGAAGGACAGGGTTGTCACCTACTGTTTGACATGGGGATACACAGCCTTTATTAATGCAGCAATCTGCTCTTGGGTGGGTGGGTGGGGCCTTTGATAGTGCTCTGCATTACACAGATGTAGGCAGCACTTTCCCACATTGCCTGTGGAGGTCCTGATTGGGCCCAGGGAGGGTGGGGTCCAAAGGCAGGTGCTTCAGACTGGGGAAGCTGTGTGACCATGTTGAGAAGGTTGCCTTCCTTCTCTGAGCAGCCATTCTGAAGATGTGAATGAATTTTTGTTCCCCTCTGAGGCTCTGAGGGAGAAGCTCCGGTGGGGAACTTGAGAAAGAGACTATGGTGCGGGGAAGGAAGAGGCCCCTGGCCCACGTGGTGGCAGTGTGACGCTCTGGGCAGAGTCTGTCAGGTGCCTGCTCCCCCGCCCCCTGCAGCCAGGGCTGCCCCCTCGCTGCAGTCACAGCTCTGAGAGTTACGACGACGGCGGCTCAGCTCCCCATGCTCCCTCCTGTGTCCTTCAGGCCTCTCCAGACTCCACCATCATGCGCCACTCTCACAGCAACCGTACAACTGGGCTGTAGCTGTTTCAGCCGGTTGACTCGAGTTGAGTTGTGCAGAAACAGACAGCTGGCCAGGAGAGGCGCCCTGACAGATGAAGCACGTGAACACAACCAGAGAACCGGACAGACTTTACTAGCAGCCTTGCTGTCGGGCAGCGGTCCTGGGGAAACGTGCCAAACTGACTTGGGTGCCAAAACTTTCTCACTGGAAATCTCTTTAAACCACTGTATGACATAGCTCCCTGGGCTCTTTAGCGACCTTACATGAGCTGACGTCAGTTCCACTTTTCTCGGGGGTCCTCTGCAGGCAGCTAGGGCAGTGGCAGATGTGAGTCCAGTGTATGACATATCTCCCTGGGCTCTTTAGCGACCTTACGTGCGCTGACGTCGGTTCCACTTTTCTCGGGGGTCCTCTGCAGGCAGCTAGGGCAGTGGCAGATGTGAGTCCAGTGTATGACATATCTCCCTGGGCTCTTTAGCGACCTTACGTGAGCTGACGTCGGTTCCACTTTTCTCGGGGGTCCTCTGCAGGCAGCTAGGGCAGTGGCAGATGTGAGTCCAGTGTATGACATATCTCCCTGGGCTCTTTTCTCGGGGGTCCTCTGCAGGCAGCTAGGGCAGTGGCAGATGTGAGTCCAGTGTATGACATATCTCCCTGGGCTCTTTTCTCGGGGGTCCTCTGCAGGCAGCTAGGGCAGTGGCAGATGTGAGTCCAGTGTATGACATATCTCCCTGGGCTCTTTTCTCGGGGGTCCTCTGCAGGCAGCTAGGGCAGTGGCAGACGTGAGTCCAGTGTTGTGGGAGAAGCAGCCCCTCTTGATCCTCTCGCTGGACGTCTGTGACCTTATCGACAAATCCCAGGTTGGCACTGGAGACAAGAGCCTCTTGAATTTAAAGTTAAGCATGTGAGCTGGGCCCAAGGACGAGGGGCAGGGGGAGGCTGGGGATACGGCTGTTTTCACGTTATTTGGAGAGTATCCGCTTGGCGGCCCCCCATGGCCATGATCCCTGAAACCACATCAAGGATGGGTGTCTGTGCTAACTGCCCAGGAAGGCCAGCTGAGGGGCAGAGGGACATGGGCGGGGGTGGGGACTGAGCTTGGCCATTACGTGGGACAGCTAACTCTGGAACTTAGGGGACAAGTAGTGTGGACACAGCCTTTGCCATCTGGACCCCATGGCCCTCTGGCCTGTGTTGAGCCCTCCCCTTGCATACCAGTGACTGCCTGTTGATTCCCACCCGACCCTTGACAGTGGCCAGCCCCAGCCACCCATGGGTATCTCAGGCCCATTGTCTGTACATTGGGGCTTGTTGGCTGCCGGCCCCTGGAAGCATCCGCAGCAGCCTTGTGTCAAAGGCCAGGCACAAACACGCAGTTCTGATGCTTAGCTGTGACTGTCAGTCCTTGGGCGGGAGGTTCCAGCTGTGGAGTTCCCTGATGGAATGGAATGACTTGGGTATTAGGATAAGGAGGCTGCAAAAAGCAGAGGGACAATGAGGGGAGAAGTGTCTGGACTCTCCTAGGCAAGAAGGGTTTCCATGTTTTTAGCTTTAGTTGCAAGGAGGGGCGAGTCACCTTCTGGCTCTTCCTGAGGGATTGTGGCACGAGGCCTGAGGCTGGACCACTAGTGCCAGAGCAGAGAAAGACTTCAGGTTGTTCCACAGAGATGTCAAAGAGGAATGCTGTGGACAATCCTGCTCAGGACTAATGGCCAGGACAACGGAGACAGAGTGGAGAGGTGACACGGACCACATGGCCAGCAGGTAGGGAGGGGACACAGGTGGGGAGGGGCAGAGGGTTCCTGATGGTTTCAGCCCTAAGCAGAGCCTGGACTCGTTACCTCCTGAAGCACCTGGCGTTTTTCCTCCTAGTGTTCCTCAGCAGGGGAGCTGTTGTCCTCTTCCTGTTGCAGCGCTGTCCCCAGTCCCACTTTCCCACATGCCTCCCCACTTCGTGGGTGGCTGGACTGTCGGTGTCCATGGAGTGGTCTCGCCTGCATGGCAGCATGGGTGCGGCGGGCCTGCTGGAGGCCACTGCGGCTTCTCTGGATGACCCTGGTCACTATTAGGAGGCTTGGCTTTGTGAAACAATTTCAGAGTTGAGTTTTTGTTTGTTTGTTTTCCTTAATAACATTTAATTCTGACTCCAGGGGTCAGGGCAGTATGAGTGAAGGGGTGACAGATCCTCTCCGCTCCTGCAGAATTGGACATTCAGTTACCTGGCTAGTTTTGTTCCCTTGGAAGCTAGATAGAAACGGAATGTCCGCCGTTTCAAGGCAGCATTACTTATGGTAAAAATGACCCCTAACTGTACTCGGAGATCTATGTACAAACTATAAACATCTGCTAAAAAGCCACAGCTTTGGGCTTCCTGAGTGCAGTACTCACTGGGCAGGCCCCTCGCGGGGACCCTGGGAGCTATGCCTATGGAGTTGTTCTGCCCGGGGAACTAGGGCGTTATCAGCTCCCCTGGGCCGTGGTGTTTCTTAGTGCTTACAACGCACCAAGCCAAGGTGAACCCCACTTCTCCCTGCATCTGAGTTGTCCCCTGGGCAACACAGGAGAACAGTCCTGATGACTGAGTTCTGCGAGGACCACCCCCGCAGAGGACTGCTCCCTGATGTCCCGTGGCAGGCTGCTTCCGGTCCGACAGCCTTCAGAGTGAACGCCATGCCCAGGGTGGCCTGTGCGAGTCTGGAGTCTAAACGGTGAGCAGGATCTAAGACCACAGCCCCCTGGGCGCTGTTGCATGCAGTATGATGTGTTGCACCCCTCATTAGCTACGGTGTTTGGGGCAAGTAACTTAACCACTCTAAGCTTTAGTTTCCCCACCTGTAAAATGTGGGGGGACATGGTAGTCACCCTAGAGGGGTGTGGTAAGCTTGAAACGAGATAAGGTACGTAAACTGCTTAGCACGAGAAGCCCTCAGTAAATGCTCCTAGGTAAGCTGTATGCTCTTGGTGACAGCGTAAAGTGGGGGGGGTGCCATGCTGCTTCTCAAGGCCCGGCCTTGCGGCATGTCCGGCCTGCCTACATACGCTGGTGTCACCTTCAGTGCCTGTGTCTCTTGGGTGAAGGTCACACCCAGAAGTACATCATCAGGGTTCAGTAAGGCGCTCTTTGGGAGTACCCTGAATGAAGAGCACAGCCTACCAGAGCCCAATGTCCAGGAGTCTGTGGAAAACAGAGGCCTATTGTGGTTTGGCAGCCCTGACCCTGACTGCTTCGTGGGGACCATGTTAGAACCTCACAGTGGCTGAGTGGAAAAGACATTCTAAGTCACGATGTCAGAACTAGTCACGGTAAGAGCTGGCAGGGAAGCCTCAGAGGTTTCCTCATCCACACCCCTCAGTGCCAGCGGGGCCCAGAGGGAAATGACTGGCCCAGAGCATCACGGCGAACAGCTGGGCCAGCCAGAGCCTCCGTCTTGGCCTCGGAGTCAGGCTATTTGGCTTCAAATGCCTACTTTCGCTCTTCCTCGCTATGTGTTCTGAGCTTAAGTTTCCTCATCTATAAAATGGGTTTGTTGTGAAGATTAAATGAGACGAGTCTAATTCACATGGAGCAGTTTGTGGGGCGCACGGTAAGGGATGCAAATGTTATAGCGCACTGTGCTGCTGCCCCTCACCTCCTTCTGTGACCCCGTTAGAAACAGGGACACGTGGCCCTGGACTTGAGTACCTGGCCCCTGCTGGTGGGAGATGTACGATGCAGGCTAGCTTCTGCAGGAGCCTCTGGGGGATCGTCTTGTCCAAGCTCCTCATTTTGTATACGAGGAAACCAAGACTGAGAGAAGGGGACCAACCTGCCCTTTGGAGGCGCAGTGATTTGGCTGTTGGCTGACTGAAAAGACATTGGCATCTATATTGTTTTTTATTTATAAACAAATCGACATAAAATAAGTCCAGATGGCAGCGGGGGCAGCTGTGCTGCTGACTTGCTTAGAAAGGAAGCATATGGACAGTGGGGTGAGTGTAACCAGATGCTGGCCTGGAGACCCTCCCCTCCCATCCACCTTGGGGCCTTCTTGGCTTAAAACTGTTGGGCACAAACGTCTTCCACAGCAGTTCTGGCCAGGGCAAGGAGCTGTGGTGGGGAACAGCGTGGGGCAGGGGACTCCCATTCCCACAGATGAGGCCAGGGCTGCAAGGGGCCCAGTAGAGGAAGAGAGGGGAAGGGGACCGGGACCCTCTCTCCCCCCATGCTGAGTGACGTGGTCAAGGCTTTATAGGTCTGTCCATCCCAAAGAGAAGTGCCCTAGAGTAACATCCTCTGGAAAGGGGCCATGCCTCTCTGGGACCAGAGCAGGGCAGTCTCTCTCCTTCTGAAACTCAATGTCTGGAGCTTGAGAAGTATGAGCTGGAGGGTTTGCCCAAGTGTCAGAAACAATAAATTAACAATAAGAAAAGGTCTTGTTTTAAAAAAGGTAGAGGTTTGCACCATGAGTTTGGACTCTGGGGATCTTGTGAGAAGGCAGGAGTTGTGGGGTAATGGGGTGCTATATCAGGCCCAGCAGGTGGTAAGGGGACTGGGCACAGATATCAACTCAGGCCCCATCTTCCGAGGCCTCAGGGGTTGGCCCCTTCCTCCGTCACTTGGAAGGTGTTTAGTCTAAAGCCCTGGTGAGAGGCCGGCCAGCTCGAGAAATAAATACAGGGAGAGCTCAGAGCTGAGGCAGGGCTGAGGGGAAGAGCAGCACCAGCCCTGGGCCCCACACTTCCCCCTCAGTCCTTCATGGAAGGACACATCATGGCAAGAGAGGGCAGCAGTGGTGGCTCCACACAGCCTCCTGGAGTCCTGAGGTGGCCCTGAACCCCACTGAGGCACCAGCAAGTGCCCCCTCCTTCCTGGGAGAAGAACGCCCTCATCTGCTTGGCCCCTCAGCTGTCTAGCTGCGTCTCCCTGCTTCAGAACTTGCCCTGTTTCAGCCGGTCAATGTGGTAGGAGAGCTTGAGTGCGGGCCCCAGCTTCAGACCCATGTACTTCATCATCACGTCGCTGCGCAGCAGAAGCAGGGCCTTGCCGTCGATCTCCTGGGGGGATGGAGGGAGGCGCCGTCAGAAGCCTGGCTGGTCTGCTCACCCCAGGTTCTGAGGAAAGGCCACCCAGGAAGTACCAGCAACGGGGACTCCAGTGAACCTGCTGTGACACTAAAGCCCACCTGTTCTGCCCACCTTCTGTCTCCACCCCTCCCCGAAATCTAGTACCGAACCCCCTGTGCTAAGCTCTTCACACGCTTGTACCACATTCCTTTCTCTGCTACCTGAGAGGCAGTTTCTCCGCCCTCCCAAACCTGTGATCCAGCTCACTTCTTTCTCCTCCAGGAAGCCTCCCCTCTCAGTGGCCTCATCACTTCTCACAGACTGTTTTATATTGACCCTCAACTGTTACTCTGTGAGTGGTCTTCGCTCCCGAGGGGCAGGGACCCCTCTGTGTGAGCTAGGCACACGCAGACACTCACTGAGCAGCTGTAAGGCCTTCGGGCCTGATCTAAGGGCACCCTCCAAACCCACATGGCACGAAGGATTTAAATAAGCAATGAGAGGCAGCAGGTCTGTTTTGAGTGACCACAGGGCAGAAGCAGTAGGGACTATGGGAAGCGGGGTTGAGCCCCGTACCAGGGGTGTATGGTCACTGCAGGAGGATCAGGAGCAGTCTCTGGCCAAGGGGCCACCGGTCAGTTAAAGAGATGCTGGAGGCTCACAGAGGGACAGACAGAGGACAGGGGACTGGCAAGGTTGGGGGCCACTTGGCAAGGGACTTTTTAACGTGGGCTGAAGGCCCTGATTCTCAGGCCAAGGCAGGCAGATGGGAGAGCAAGTGCTCCCAGGAAAAGAGACAAGCCTGTCTCGGGCACTGAGCCACAGGGTGCACACCCAGTAGGAACGCGGCTGAATCAGATCCCACACTACAGGAGAGAGCTACCTTGGTGCTCAATGAATCTGTCTGAGACCCAAGATTCTGTCTCGAAGTTTGTATGGCGTCTCCTGTGCTCAGTTTCAAGGGACCTGGAACAAATATGTAGCCCATACCCTTTAAGAGTCTAGAAGATGCAGAAGTAAGACTCTCAGCAAACACGGGGAGGTCAGGTGGGGGAACCTACATGTTTGCGAAAGAGGTCAGCATGGGGTCCCAGCTGAGGATCAGCTTCCCGGACAAACTGCATCACGTCCTCGACTGTCCATGACGAGGGGTCCCGGCCACTCAGTCGAGAGGCATCCCGGCTTTCCAGGTATCGGTCCGACCCTGCAGGACAGGAAGGCACCTGCCATAACGGGTGGGGATGGGTCTGTAACTCCCCCACCCTCCCTGGCCTGTCCCGAGGGCCCTGTGGGTGAGCTTACAGCAGCCAGAGCAGAGGAACCAGAGGCAGCCGAGGGTGGGAAGGGCTTTCCACAAAGGCCATGAGGGCCTGAGAGGCTGCTGAAGTCACATCTTTGTTCTTTAGGGTGGATCTGATTGTGGAAATGGCCACAAGGAATTCTACATTGAGGCTGTGGTTCAGCCTGGACCTGAGTCCGGGGAACAATGCCGTGAGGAGATTACTTGGGTTCAGTGGGGGCAGGTGGGTGAGGCTGCTTTTGCCTTGGCTCTGGATACCATTTCTAGAGAGAACTTAGGAGCAGGGCAAGACTTCAGAGCCAAACCCTTGGGGCCTCGGGATTAACAAAAGGTGTGGACAAGACCCTGGGCACCTTCCCAGGTCTGGAGAACAGTTGACCTCGCTACAACCTGATGCAGGAGGTAGAAAAGAGTTTTGCCTTGGCTGCCAGGAAACTCAATGCTAATTTAGTGCTTTGCTAAGAGCTTTCATCTCAATCTTGGCTCAAATACAGCTATCCCCATCTCCCGTGTAGGATTTGGGATCTCTGTATTTTGACCCGCCACAGGTCTCTGGTATGTTTCATCCCTCTGCCTGGAACGTGCCCCCTTCTCTCCCTTCAATTTCTCCTTTACTCCTTGCAAACTGCAACTTTGCTAAGCAAGAGTTGGTTTTGATGAATAAACGAAAAGCGACAAGATATATTGGAGTATATGAGGAAGCCATTTGGTTTAAAACTAATTTGGCTTGACCATGTTTTTCCAGAAAGGCCTGATGTGGCCTGTTGCACCAGCCCAGTGGCATAGTGGTTGCGTTCACGTGCTCCACTTTGGTGGCCTGGGGTTCGCTGGTTCAGATCCTGGGTGTGGACCCACACACTGCTCATCAAGACATGCTGTGATGGCATCCCACATAAAAAATAGAGGAAGACTGGCACAGACATTACCTCAGGGAGGGAGGGAGGAAGGAAGGAAGGAAAAAAAAGAAAGAAAGAAAGAAACATTTACCATGTCCCAAAGCTGAGAATGATGCCCTTAAAGATAGGGATGCTGCCTCCCCCGTATATCAGAATTTCTTCCCAGAAACTAAGGATTAATTACTGACCCACTGAGCTCCTCTTGTGACCACTGACCTGCTGTGCTAGCGAAGCATCCTGTGACAGTAGTAAAAGGGATGTTCCTTGTTCCAAGACGGCAGATAACCACTCTGTACCCTCCGCTTGCTTCCTTCCTTCCTTGGTGAAGGTCGCTCCTGGGCTATAGTCCTCAAAACTGGCTTATATGATAAACTCACCCCCATTTTGATTTATAGATTGATTATGAATTATTTGTATCAACAGCTTCGAGGACCAGCCCCTTTATGAAACTTTTCTGGTCTAATACTGAAGTAATTGGTCTCACAAAGCATTTCCTGTATCTCTTGGTTACAGCTCAATCTCTACACATTTTCCCCGGTCAGATCACCCTAATAATCTGTTTTCCATAAAGGACTCAAAGCAACCCTTAAAAACTAATTGGATCATGTCAATCCCCCCTAAAAACTCAATGCAATGGCCTCCAGTTGCACATGAAATGACACCTGAACCCCTTACTATGGTCTAGAAGGTACTCCATCATCTGGCCCTTTCTATCTCTGACCTCATCCCCTCCGCCTTTTATTCACTCATCAAGCTCCAAACACACTAGCTTCCCTTCTGCTTCTCGAACAGGCTACGCTTTTATTTTTTAACTCGCAATTTCCTGTCAGGAATGTCCTTTTTCCAGATCTTTGCATACCTGATTCCTTCTCAACATTCGGGGCTCATCTCAAATATCAATTCCTCAAAGAGGCCTTCCCCGATCTCCTAGTCAAAGTACTCAATTCCCCCACACAATCACTCTCAATCCAACTGCGTCCTCTAGTTTTTTTCCCCAGCTCATATCACCACCCAAAATAATTTAATGCATTTATGTTTATTACCTGTCTTCTCCTCTTTTGTTCCCTGCTGTATCCTTGTGATACTGTGATTTATAATAAGAAACATATACTTGGTTTTCACCCCCACTTCTGGCACACAACTCCTAAAGTCCTTGGAATTTCCTAAGTGGTGAGAGAAATCAAGGTGCCTTTTGTTACTCATAACCAGCCCCTTTCAATCACATCTGAGTATGTTAATGAGGTGACTTTTGGAAAGGCCCTAAGGATGGGGGCTGGTTGCCAGAGGAACCAACCAGGTGGTGAGAGGGTTGGAACTTTCTGTCCCACCCCCCAGCCTCCATGGAAGGGAGAGGGGCTGGAGATGGAGTTCAGCCACCAATGGCCAATGATCTAATCAATCATGCCTACGGAATGAAGCCTCCATAAAAACCCAAAAGGGGGAGATGGCCCCGTGGCTGAATGGTTAAGTTCTCGCTCTCTGCCTTGGTGGCCAAGGGTTTTGCTGGTTCAAATCCTGGGCGTGGACATGGCACCGTTCATCAAGCCATGCTGAGGTGGCGTCCCACATGCCACAACTAGAAGGACCCACAGCTAAAACTACACAACTATGTACTGGGGCGCTTTGGGAGAAAAATAAAATCTTAAAAAAACAAAAAACAAAAGGGAAATGTTCGTAGAGCTTCTGGGTTGGTGAACACAGAGGTGCTGGGAGAGTGGTGTGCTCGAAGAGGGCATGGAAGCTCCACATCCCTTGCCCTGTGCATCTCTTCCATCTGGCTGTTCTTGAGTTGTATCCTTTTATAAAAAAACAGTAATCTAGTAAGTAAACAGTTTTCCTGAGTTCTGTGAGACACTCTAGCAAATCAACTGAACCCCAGCAGGGGATTGTGGGAAACTCCAATTCATAGTTGGTCACTCAGAAGCACAGCTTACAACTTGGACTTTTTTTTTTAATAAATGTCTGAGGGTCTCAACCAGAAACTCACCTTTTTTTTTTTTTAAAGATTGGCACTGAGCTAACATCTGTTGTCAATCTTCTTCTCCCCAAAGCTCCCCAGTACATAGTTGTATATTCTAGTTGTGAGTCCTGATTGAGCTAGGCGGGACGCCGCCTCAGCGTGGCCTGATGAGCGGTGCCATGTCTGTGCCCAGGATCCGAACCGGCAAAACCCTGGGCCGCTGAAGCAGAGCACACAAACTCATCCACTTGGCCACAGGGCCGGCCCTACAACCTGGACTTCTAACTGGCATCTGAAGTGGGGGGTGCAGACTTGTGGGATCTGATGCCATTTCCAAGTAGAAAATGTCAGAATTGAATTCAACTGTAGGACGCCCAGCTGGTGTTGCAAAACTGCTCAGTGCGTGGAGAATCCACACGTCTGGTGTCAGAGGTGAAGCAGTGTTGAGCAGAGCATGGAGAGTAGGGAGACACACAGGGAGAGAATGTTTTCCTTTTACAGCCCCTAAGACATAAACAGAGTGCCTGGTCTGCCACAGTAGATGTTCAAACCTGTTTGTTAAATGAATGAATGACCATATATAATAGTTACTTGCGTGTTTTTCTGTCTCCTCCACCAGACTATGTCTGTCTTGAGGCAAGGATCTTGCCTTGCTCAAGTCTGTATCCTCACCACCCAGGAGATGTCAGTCACACAACTAAGTGGCAGAGCTGAAACATACCTGCAAAAGTAGAGGGATCTACTCTTCAACTATCTCCGGCAAAGGCTAAAAGTCTCCTCCCATCCTCCTCCATTTTGGGTTGGGTCCCAGGTCTAAAAGTCGAGGCACACTTCACTTGGCCCAGTCCCTGCTCCCTGGGGAGGACACTCCAGTCTATTCTCTCTCAAGCCTGTATTGACTAGACCAGGGAAGAAGTGTGCTGGAACGAGCAGGGGTGCTGAGCGTCATAGAAATTCCAGTGGCATCTGAGAGGCGGTAGTAGACAGGAAGTTGTGGAGGGCTCTGGGAGCCAGCCACTCCTCCCTGCCCTGAAAGCCCACTGTGACGCTAAGAGAGAAACCAAGTGCAAAGATTACGGAGAGCAGAGAGAAGACATACACGTGAATGTACCTTTCTTGGACCATCTTAGCTAATTCCCATACCCAGGGAAGCTGAGAATCTCTCTCTCTCTCACACACACATATATAATGATATTATATAAACACACATACATATATAATAGTATATATACTATTCTCGGACACCCCAGAACCACCTGCCGGACAGATCGCAACCACCTGCCGGACACGCCGGTGGTATATGTATGTGTTTGTCTGTTAGTTTACTGCTAGAATATATACTCCCTGAGGGCAGGTAGCAGGAAGTTGCTAAGTTATATGGTGGTCTGGAGAGACGTCTCTGAAATGGCGACATCTGAGCAAAGACCTTGAGGCAGAAGAGTGCCTGGCATGTTTCAGGTTGGGCAGGGAGGCTGATGTGCCAGAGTAGAGTGAACGAGGAGAAAGCGGGAGGAAGTAACGTCTGAGAGGTATATATGCGTGCGTGTGATGGGGCGGGGGAGAGGGGGTGCAGATAATAGAGGACCCTGCATGTCACTGAAAAACGACTGGCTTTTCTGAGTGATGTAGGTCAGTTTTGAGCAGACGGGTGACAAGAACCACCTTACAACTAAAAGGATCACTCTCACAGTCTGTGTTGATAATCAACTTTACGGGGCGAGGACAGAAGCAAAGGAGACCAGTTAAGAAGGACACTAAAATAGCCCTGGGAAGAAATGACTGTGGCATGCACAGGTGATAGTGGTGAACAGTCTGATACATGAACATTTTAAAGAACCCCAAGTATCGTCAGCTTTTTGACCCTTAAAACAGCCCTGGAAGGAAGCATCACCACGTTCAGTTTAGAGATTCCAGAGAAGCGAAGTGACTTGCCCAAGAGCACATAGCTAGGAAGAAGACAAGCTGGTGCCCTGTCTCTGTCTTCTCCTATCCCCAGCTCTGCAGGCAGTCTGTACCCAGCGGGCACAGCTGGTGATTATTCTTCAAGGAGGGCAGAGTTTCAGTCGGAGAACGACTAAGGCAGGCGAGGCGCATCCACGTGAGGTCGGACCAACAAACTGATGCCTAATCATCTTGCATTCGTGAAATAAGAGGGGACAGACTTGGCGTCTAAATTCTCTGAGAGAAACAATTCTAGGGCAACCAGATAGAACCCTTTCATAGCCTTGTGAGGTTCTTCAGGGTCAACAGGGACTTAGACCATGGCCTGGCTGACAGACTCAAAATATATTCCAGAGGAAGAGTAGAAATGCCAGGGAAACAACAGTGACATCTGAGGCCAGTGCCACGCGAGGCAGCCCATCAAGAAGCACTCCTAACAGAAACAGGGCCTTGGGGAAGACACCAGTAACAGGGACTCCCTCCTCCCTGGGGAATGATTTAGTTTCCCAAACGATCCCATTTCCCTGGATCCTTTTAACACTCCTGTGAAAAGACCAGGTCATCGAACACGAAGACCTGAGAGGCGAGAGGACTCACCCCAGCCTCAAGGCAGGAAATCACTCCAGCCCCACTCTCTGCAGAGCTCCTCGTCCTCCATTCTGCTGCCTTGGGGAGCATCCCAGGCTCCTTCCCCGTCTCAGCCTTCCTGAAATCCCTCTTTCCTGAGGTCACGTCTCCCCATTGCAGGCCTTGCTAATGGAGTCTTCTTGTTCTTCCACACCCACACACCCTGGGCTGGGGAGGCCACTGGGGGGTACGGAGGTGGCATCCTTCTCTCTCCTGATCGCTGCTTTTAGATCATCCTCAGCCCTCTCTCCATTCACTTACGGCCACAATCAATTTCCCCTGCAGTCTCAGAGAGCAAGATGTGCCTCCTTCTGGCTGAAGACTGATCCATTTGTCTATGCCCTTGATCCCTAATCTTTCCCACTACCCTAAAGGTCTTACTTTCCTTTTTCCTATATATATATATATATATATATATATATATATATATATATATATATATTTTTTTTTTTTTTTTGAGGAAGATTAGCCCTGAGCTAACATCTGCTGCCAATCCTCCTCTTTTTGCTGAGGAAGACTGGCCCTGAGCTAACATCTGTGCCCATCTTCCTCTACTTTATATGTGGAGGGCCTGCCACAGCATGGGTTGTCAAGTGGTGCCATGTCCACACCTGGGATCTGAACCGGTGAACCCTGGGCCGCCGAAGTGGAACGTGCACACTTAACCGCTGCGCCACAGGGCCGGCCCCACCATGTTCTTAATTTCTTCTTTTTGGATGGCTCAAGTTGTCTGCTGATAAACATGCTCAGTGTGCTCCCATTCTAGAAGACCTTCTTTTGAAGGTCACCATCTTTCCTTTTCTCATCAAACTCTCCTTGATAACCCCACCCACTGTACTCTGCCCTCACCACCCTCCACCACCAACGAAGCTGCTTCTGCTAAATGCACCAATTACCCACTCATCGCCACATCCAACAGATGCCGTTCCAGTTCTCATTTTACCGAACCTTTGTTGTGTTGCTCTCCTTAAAACACCGTACCCCCGGTCACCACAATATCAAATTCTTCTGTTTTCGCTCACATTTGACTATTCCTTTGTTTCCTTGGTGGGATCCTCTTCCTGCTCCCACCTCCTGAACACTGCTGGTCCCCAGGACTCCAATCTTTAGTCGTCTGTTCTTTTCATTCTACACGTACTCCTGGAAAGTGGGTGCCATTCATCCTACAACTTCAACTACCATCTGTATGCTGATGACTTCCAAATATTTAACTTCAGCTCAGTCCTCTTTCCTGAGATTCAGACCTGCAGAGCCACTGCCTGCTGGATATCACCTGGATGACCCACGGGCTCCCTACCCTTCTTTCTCTTCTACGGTCGGTTCCCTCTCTCAGTGAACGGAGCCGCTATCTGGTAGCTACCCCATCTAGAGACCTGGGAGCCATTCCCACTCCCTTATTCTTCACAGTCTTCAATCTGACTAAATTTACCTTATGAATAATTCTCAAATTTATTTTCTTTTCTTCAAATCTTCTACCACTGCCCTAATCCAGGCCTGTGTCACTCCTGGTCTGGCCCCTTCTGGTAACCCCCTAACTGGTCTCTCTCGTCTTGTCCTTCGTCAAATCCACCCTCCATGCAGCAGTCAACGATCTCCTGAAAACACAAACCTGTTTAGGTTTTGCCTCTAATTAAAAGCCTTCAATACCTTTGCATTGCCTATAAGATCAACTCCAAATTCTTTAATATGACATTTAAGGTCTTCTATGACATAACCCCTGACCTTTACAGGCCCTTCTCTTTGAAGTTCCAGTATTACATTTTATGTTTCGGCAATAGCAAACTGCATGTAGCTCCTGGTACACTCTGTGCTAGTTCTTATCCTTTTGCCCTCGTTCATGGTGTATTCTCTTCCGGGAAAGCTCGCCCTCCCTCACGGCCCCTGATATGGCCACTCATACAGTCACCCTTTAAAGTCTCAGACAGAGTCATCTTCTCAAGGACGCTTCCCCTGGACACCAAGCTTGGGTTAGGTGGGCCTTCTTGCAGTTTTCATACTACCCAAAGCATATCTCTGTAACCGCACTCAAGATGTGGTTTACAATTATCTTGTTTCTCTTCCCACAAGACTGTGTGAGCTCCTTGAGGACAAGAAGTGATGGATTTTTGCATCCTCACACCAAACACAGATGGTGTTCAAATAAATGGCTAATGGAAGAAAGAATGAATCCTTCCCTGTCTCTTTGGCTCTAGGTCTTTGGCTCTTAGTTTCCGTCATTCTTAAGCCAATCCCAGAGCTTCACTTGTCTCCCAGGTGTCTAGCCAGGCACAATGATAAGCCCAGATCCCAGTCCCACCACCAGACAGGGGGCAACAGAGCTAAGTCCTTTCTGGCTTCCCAGAGCTCAGGAAGGAAGGGAAGAGTGAGGGAGGACGGAAGCGCTGGACCTCTGGTAAGCTTACCCCTGGAGCACAGCCTGTGCACAGCTGAGGCCGTGCTCAGTGGGAGGCCACAGGATGGAAGCAGAGTCCGGTACCCAGGGGTTCGAAGATTTTGGGAGGTGCTGACAAGGTTGGTGGGATTCAAGGCGGAGTCCATTGAGTCTGAGTGTGGCTCCAAGGACCGGGCCAGACTATTCCCCAGGACAAAGGTTTCACCTGGAAAACAGTAAAACCAGAGTGAGAGCAGGGACTAGTTTGGAAGGATGCCAGGGCACTGGCTCCCAGGTACCTGTTTGCGTGGAGCAAGAGGCAGCAAAACAGAAAGCCCTGGGCTGGGTGCCCCAAGGCCTGTGTACCAGTCATGGCTCTGGCTCTTACTAGGTGGTCTTAGTCAAGCCCTATGCCACTCTCTGGGCTTGGATCTCCTTGGAGACTCTTCCTCTTAGACTAGAGGGTCTTTGAGGTTTCTTCTGGTCTGGATGTCTTATGCTTTTTCTGGATAGGGAGAATCTTAAGAAACAGAACTATTCTGGAGCCGGCCCTATGGCGAAGTGGTTAAGCCCGTGCGCTCCGCTTCCGGGGCCCAGGGTTTCAGTGGTTGGAATCCTGGGCACAGACATGGCACCACTCATCAAGCCGTGCTGAGGCAGCATCCCACATGCCACAACTAGAAGGACCCACAACTAAAAATATACAACTATGTATCAGGGGGCTTTGGGGAGAAAAAGAAAAAATAAACTCTTTGGGAAAAAAAATAAAACAGCTCTTCTAGGAAGAGGCTGACTTACACACAAGATGCTAGATCAGGAAACAGAGGTGCTGGAGAAGAGATACACTTAGACAAGTGCACTTTAGAAGCTGACCCTCTGCTCAGCAAGCAGGACATCCCAGAAATGCTTCTTGATGCCTGGCTAAAGGCCTGTCCGCAAAGGATCTGCTCCTATGTTCCCTCTCTCCTTTCACAACTGCCTCGTTCTGTAGAAACATTCCAAGGAAGCTGGGTTTGTAGAGTGGTGAGAATGTGGGCATGGAGACCAGAAACTGGGTTGAATTTGGCTCTGCCACTCAGCAGGCAAGGTGCTTCCCTCAGAACCTCAGTCTCCTCATCTATAACATGGGAAGCACCTTTCTTCCAAGGGGCTTATGAATATCAAAAGAGAATAGCTATGAAAGCCTCTGTAAAGGGAATCTCATTCTGACATGTCTACAGCCAGGCCAAGGCCCAAACCAGGTAGCAGCCCCTAATCACTGTGTTACGGACCCGGGAGCAGACTCCCTCTCACGACTGGGTTCTACCCACACCAAGTCAGTTTCTCAGCCCTGGCCACAGCATTCTCTGCTTACATGGGATGTCTTCAGTACTGGACCGTATCTGTCTTTTGTGCTTTTTCTTAGATATCGGGTGTTTAGATAATGCTTGGGATTCATGTAGGGCCTCTGATGTACGCTAAATTCAAGCACATTGTCTGGCACACAATAAGATCTCCGTGGCAGGGCTGGCCCAGTGGCGTAGTGGTTCAGTTTGCATGCTCCGCTTCAGCAGCCCGGGGTTCATGGATTTGGATCCCAGGCACGGACCTACACACTGCTCACCAAGCCACGCTGTGGTGGCATCCCACATATAAAATAGAGGAAGACTGGCACAGATGTGAGCTCATGGACAATCTTCCTCACCAAAAAAAAAAACAGAAAGAGACCTCCATGGCAAGATCGTTTAGGATTTTAGGACTACTTCTCACTACTCACCTAAAATTGCTTGGTAACCATGGGCTTAAAGTCCAATCCAGCATGGGACAGCTATTCACCCTTTGCTTAGGGAGTTTAACTGGTAAAGCCCTTCCCTAGAAATGCTTCTGAAGAGAGAAGTCCCTGGACTCCAGGATAGCTGAACCACATCCCACCCACTTTCTGCAGATGAGGATTCAGATTCCTACTTTTTTAGGAGATATGACTATAGCAGTGGTCCTCTTTGAGATAAGAACAGGAACCCAAACCCAAACCCAGGAAACAGGAGGCCTGGGTTCTACGCCTGGGCCCCCGCCCTTCCCTAGGTATGTGATCCCAGGCAGGCAGGGTCTGTCTTCTCTGAGCACCAGTTTCCTCTTTTGTAAAATGGGGAAAAGTCACCCTCTGTGATGCTGAGAATGTCAAATGAGAAATTGGAATGGGATGGACCTTACAAAGGTGGGGAGTTGTTATTCTGTTCTTCATTCAGAGTTAGAGTGGCAAACCTAAGTTCTCTGCAATAGCCCAAGAAAAAGAAGTCTAGCTTCTGCATTTATCAGCAGGGTACCCGCACCTTCCCAGCCCTCATCTCCTCAGCAAAGACTCGGATGGTGTCACCTGACACACATGAGCTAACTGACGTGGAGAGTAATTATGACGACAATGCTCACCAGACGCTGATGCAAATCGGCAAGTGCCTCTTCCTCACAGCAGGGCTAAGAATGACAACTGAGATCTGCGTTGTGAGCTGAGGGGTCTGAAAGGCTGGACTGGTGGCCCCCGGACTAGGCAAGGTCAAGAAATCTTTCCTGCTGAGATGTAGTGGAAAAGGGCAGCCTCACGCTCCAGGCTCTGGGAGTCCTAGTCAGCTTAAGGACCATCAACGAGGTCCTGGCTGCCGTCAGGGGGACAATGCCAGGTAGAAGACTGCACTGCTTTCAGACTGTGCTCCACAGAGCCCTGGGGGCCTCCAGAGGGAGGCGAAGTGAGTAGGGCTCTTCATATAATCTTACCTTTACAAAAAAGGAGTTCTACTGCTAAACAAAACAAGCTTTGAAACCACTGGCCCCGGGGTCAGAAGCTGGGAGTAGAAGACTTGAGGTCTATTTCTGCATGATCATTAGTCAATGATCACTGTCTTTTTCTGAGATTCAGTTTGTCCATCTATAAAATGCAGATGAAAACCCTTAACTTCATAGGGTCAGTGTAAATTAAATTTGCTGTTGACATGCTGGAGACATGAGAACCATCATCATGAGAAGGAGCTCATTCATTCACTCAACAAACATTTGTTGAACACTCTGTGTGCTAGCCACAATGCTAGGTATGAGGTATGCAGAGGGAGACAGATAAGGACCTTGCCCTTGCGCATTTATTATCAGTGAGAAGCAGATCTCCTCTGAGTATTCCATTGCAAAGCTGATTTAAAAACTGGAGCTCCCAGTGAAGGATGACCAGAATGGTTGTGAGAAGCCTAGAAATCCTAGCAAAGGAGAAAGAGTCTGGGAATGTATTATCTGGAGAAAAGTCAGGAGACAGATGCCCTAAGGGCAGTCATGGGAAGGAAAGAGGGCTAGAGGCAGATTTGTTCTTTTGGAAGGCAGAGAGAGGAAGATGGGGCAGGAGTTATAAGAAGGCAGATTTCAGCTCGAAAAGGAAGGCGTTTTAGCAATCAGAAGTGTCCAAAAACAAAATCGTTGCCAAAAGCGACAGTGAGCAACCTGTCATTAGCAGTATTTTAGCAGAGGCCAGATGACCACTCTTGTCTGTTGGGCTAGACACTAGATCATCTCTAGAGCTCTTTACACTTTTGAGATTCAAGGACTCTGTGCTCACAACCATGCTTTCAGCTCATGGGGTGAAGTGAATGACCAAGAAGCTAGAGCTGTGGCTCTAAGAAAATTCTTACCTCAACATAGGACCCAGAAACTAGCACAGTTCTTGCACATGCTTAAAAGTCTGTCTCATGTTAAAAAAAAAAAGCCCTCTTTGACCACATGTCCCACATCCTCTACTACCCTTTCATTCAACAAATACTATTAAACACTTACTGTGGTCAGCTAGGGTGATGGATGCGGACAATGATGAAAGAGAGAGAGATTATCCCTCCCCTCACGGAATACTTAATTTAGTATGGAGGACAACAAAATACAAGTTGATAAAAAAATTAGAAACTATTATAAATGTTACTAAGGAAAGGAATAGGATATTCAGACAGAAAATAACAGGGGGACCTTTTTTAGATGATGAGACCCTGGGAGGGCTCCCTGACAACTTGATGTTTAAGCTGTGGTCTGAAGAAGAGTCCAAGCGGAGGTGTGTCAGACAATGTGCCTGATGTTAGGGTTCACCAGAGGCCCTAAATGAACCCAAAGCATTATCTAAACATCCGCTCTCTAAGAAAAACTGCACAGGATAGGAATATGGTCAGGACCCAGGATACCCCTTACATGCAAAGAATTCTACTGGAAAGGCTAAGAAACTGAGTGGTTGGGTAGAACCTGATCATGGGAAAGAATCTGCTGTAGGTTCCCTGTGCAATGATCGGGGCTGCTGCCTGGTAGCATACAGAAAGAGCTTAAGGTAGAAGGCAGTTTGGAATATTCAGGAAAATTGGGGGAAAAACAGTACAGCTAAAATGTACAGAAAAGAGATGAGTTTGGAGAGGTAGGCAGGGGCCAGATCATGCAGGACACAGCAAACCACAGTAAGACATCTGGATTTTACTGTAAGCACATTAGAATGCCACTAAAGAGTTTCAAGTGAGGAAGTGCTATAATCTAATTTATGCTTTAAGAAGAGTATTTGGGCTATTAAATAGAGAATGGACCAGAGAGGAAGAAAGCCAGTAAGGAGACCAGATAGGCCAGAGAGACTTTCACAGGCCAGGACAGCGAGGATGACGGTGAAGGCAACAGAGATGGTAAGACAGACACAGATAAAAGATGCATTTTGGATTTCCACTCCAGCTAAGGTGGAGTAGCAGGGACTAGACATATCTTACTGCTTGAAACAACTAAAAGAAAAGACAAAATGTATGTAATAATAGTTTCCACTGGGCATCAGGTAGTGCAGAACAGTGGCTCCTGAAGGAGGGGAAACACGCGAGGTGAGCCCTAGGCTCGCTCCCGGCTTACTGTCTGGAGAGCTCCCAGGCCACAGTGCAGAAGGGGGAGGTCAGACAGAGCCTGGGGATCTCCCAGGGCTGAGGAGACGGAGCTGAGAGTTTGGGCAGGCCAAGCAGCTAAAGTTCACAGGCCAGAGCGCTGGAGAGGTGACTATAACCATATTTCATATGTTTAAGAAGTTAAAGCAAAGACTGAGCAAGTTAAGCAGAGACACTGAAGGTATAAAAAGACCCATACTGAACTTCTAGAAATAAAAATACAATGACTGAGATAAAAAATACACAGGATGGATTAAGAGTAGATTAGATACTGCAGACAAAAAGATTAACTAACTTAAATACATCTATAGAATTTTTCCAAAAT